TTAAGTCTGGTGATCTAGGAGGCCAAGGTTGAGTTCCTGCTCGACCTATCCTGTATTTCGGAAACTAAGTCGTTTAAGACACATGTTTATATGGACTTTTTTACTTGAAATAAACCAAAGATTCGCTCTGTTGAGTTTGGGAACATACTAAATTTTATGTATTATATAAATATAAAATATATATTGATTAGGTCTTTTTCGCATTTTTGAATTTATATTTCGAATTGTATTTCAAATCACATTCAGTAATAATAAAAAAGCTATTTTTAATAATAGTTGCAAACACGTTGCGCTGCAACATTGCTACGGCATTCCAGCGCAATCTTACTGAAAGCGGACATTTTTATGATGCTATGACATTGCAACAATTGCAAATACGAGGGTCGACTGAAAAGTTTTGAGCCTCATCATGAAGATGGCGTTACTCGTCAAAGCCATTCTGGTGTTATAATCGTGATACTTACGAAAGATATCTGTGACAATTGTGGCCACTTTGGACGTTCAGTTCTTGTTTGACAATTATTCGTGTCGTCATTTTGTAAAAATGGAAAAAATTGAATATCGTGCTATAATTAAATTCTTGCATTTGAAAAGCAATACGTAATTAAAGCCGAGTTGGACGCTGTTTACGGAGAGTCTGCCCCATCATTTGCCACCGTGAAAAGATGGGTAGCTGAATTTAAACGTAGTCGTACCAGCTTAGCTGATCATGAGCGTTCGGGACGGCCAACAACTGCGACCACCACTGATAACATCGAAGCAATTCATCAAATAATAATGGACAACCATCGAATTAAGATTAGGGAGATAGTAGAGGCTGTTGGCATATCAAAAGAACGTGTTTGTCATATATTGACTGAAGAATTAGGCATGCGTAAGTTAACCACACGTTGGGTGCCGCGCTTGCTCACTCTGGATCAAAAACGCATTCGAATGAACATTTCTAAGACCGTGTTGGAGCGGTTTAAGCGAAACGAGTCGGATTTTTTGCGTCGATTAATAACGGTTGATGAAACTTGGGTCCAGCACTTCACTCCTGAAACGAAAGAACAATCAAAACAGTGGACTGCGAAGAGTGAACCTGCTCCGAAGAAAGCAAAGACGGTTTTATCGGTGGGAAAGGTGATGACGACTGTTTTTTGGGACAGTCATGGAATTGTGTTGATCGACTATCTTGAAAAAGGTAAAACAATAACAGGGACGTACTATGCATTATTGTTTGACAAGCTGAAGGCAGAAATTGAAAAAAAACGACCGCATTTGAAAAAGAAGAAAGCGCTGTTCCATCAAGATAACGCACCGTCTCACACTTCGGCGGTCGCTATGGCAAAAATTCACGAATTGCGGTTCGAATTAATTGACCATCCACCGTATTCACCAGATCTGGCCCCCAGCGACATTTTCTGTTTCCTAGGCTCAAAGGCTCGGAGGACAGAAATTTTCATCGAACGAGGAGGTCATCGCATCCGTAGACGTCTATTTTGCAAAGCAAGACGCTCAGTATTATTTGAATGGATTAAATAGGTGGGAGCATCGCTGGAAAAAATGTATCGACTTAAAAGGAGACTATGTGGAAAAATAAAATGGAATTTGATCGAAAAATTACTTGTTTCTATGTTAGGCCCAAAACTTTTCAGACGACCCTCGTATATTGCGCAATTTATTTGTAATATTACAACGTTACAATGAGATATATATGCAATCATTTTGCAATCTTCCTACGCTTTATGGGAATATAACATTATGCTTCCTTTTATACTTTTTTCCTTCTTGTTACTTTTTTCTTTTTTTTTTATTTTTCTTTCCATAAGTCCTTTCTTTTTCATGAAAGAAAGAAAATGTTATCATTATTCTGAAAATAAAATAAAATACATCATGAAGACTCAAGTATAATGAATACTAACAGTGTTATGCTTTTTTTTACATCGCTTTTTCTGTTTTTAACTATCTTTTCAGTCCTTTCTATGAATTCCTTTCATTTTTCTTGAAAACCACTACTCATACAGCACAGAAAGATTGTAAAATGATTGCAGATATATCTCATAACATTGTAATGTTGTAATATTGGATATAGATTACGCAATGTATTTGCAACCTTGTTGCAATGTCATAGATCATAATAATGTCCGCCTTCAGCAAGATTGCGCTGTAATGTCATAGCAATATTGCAGCGCAATGTATCTGCAACTATTATTAAAAATAGTTATTTTATTATTACTAAATATAATTCGAAACAAAATTGTGATATAAATTTAAAAAATGCAGAAAAAGAACTAATGTTATAGTATGTTATCTTGCGCCATAATATGTATTATATATTACAATTTCTAATATCTGCAATGTTGCAGCGATATTACAGCGCAATCTGCAACTTGTAATGTTTCTGCAATGTTACTACAAGTTTCTGTGCTGTATGGGTAATAATTGAAAATAGAATATATCACAAATACTACGTTTACACGGCAACCTTATTTGGGTTTGATAACGTTCGTTATGGAACTTACTCGATTCGTCAAAGAACGATTTTGTACTGAAGCTGAAGTAAGATGAAATAGAAGAGAGAATAAGATGTAATAAGGGTTACACGGGTATTCTACTTAAAAATAGTATCGATACCATTAGAGCTGTATTCAGAAACGTTATCCAACTGCCTTCATGTATCGTTTTACCCTTGTTTTTCTTCTATATTAAACAAGGATGATACACGGGGTCATCAGAGTAATGCAGAAGACAATTAAATTGCCTAAGACAATTAAAAAAAAAGGCTGACTTACATTTACATGTTATACAATTTTATTCAAAAAGAAAAAAATTGTATGGTAAAGACATTTTTCGTTAAAGTAATATAAACACATATGAATACGAAATAGCATACATATAGCATACATATAGACCCGTATTCAGAACGCGCTTTTATCGATAAAAGCGCACTTTTATCTCTGAAATTCTATAATATACGTGACGTAAAGTATAGTATGTAGCGTACTAACATCGTTGTAAGCGCCTTCTGAATACGGGCCATAATGTCTTTTGTAAAAGTAATTCTTTTTATATTTGGCTCAAAGTTGCAAATAAATTCCAGCACCAATCCAAAATGATCTACAACCGTTCACTGAGCGCTTTTGTATTTGATTGGCGGATTCCATTAGATCCCAAAATATAGATCAAACAGGTACAAGAGTTCATTGTACGCTTTAATTAAATTTCTTTCTTCTGATTAATCAAATGTTTGGGAGAGGGAGGGGAGGGAGGGAGGGGGAGGACGGAGTGTTTAATAGAGTAGGGGAGGTATGATCGGAGTGGGAGCGCGTCTCAGGTCGAGCGGCAAACTATGAGACCGCTAGCGCCGGCGTATCGCAAGCTACAGATGTCCCTTGTAATAATTGATCTGTTAATATTGATTTAGAATTTTAAATTAATAATTACTATTCTTTTTGTAGTGGAATTTAGCATTGCTCTTTGTCAATATGAGACATCGTAAATTATTTGACTGAGCAATTTATAAACTATTTGTTGAATTCGTCATTGGCGTTAATGCTTCAGCGAATAATTGTAATTGTAACAAATATCAAATTGATTAACGTTCACTTAGCAAAGAAATTTATGATGAATCCGAGCAATTCAAGCCGTTTCATTATATCATATCCTTCGGGAGGGGATTGAATGAAAGTAGAATATATCGCCATATTAAAGTTTGTATTTTTATTTAATACGAAACTGGCTGACACGTTGGTTATATTGAAGTTGACGCGGATCCCTCGTTTGATCATTCTATTGAAAAAGTATTTTTATTATGTTACCGATGCGGTTAGTTGACTAACTGCATTAAAGGAATTGTTGAAGAAACAGATAGTAATGGAAGGAAGAATTGAGCAGCTCCTACAAACGCGGTCAATTCTGAGAAGGGACCAACTAAGCAGCTCCTATAAGCGCAATTAGTTCGAAGGAGAGGAGGGGTGGGGGCACTGAACTCTATAATGGAATGGGCATCTAGGAAAATTCGTGGCCGCGACTGATCAGTCGCCATCTTGGCTCGATCAGATGCCTGAGCAAATCAGAAGCTTTCAGGTGCTCATACGCACTTACGTTTAGTGTTTTTTAGTAAAAACGCAAATTATTTATACATATATGTTCTGTGCGCAAATGTCAGCAAGACTGTTGTGTGTGAGGTTATATTTGAAGAATTATAAAATCGCGTGACTGTCTACAAAGCAACAACATGAAGTGCTGTGTGCCTGGGTGTAGGCAGAAAAGTAAAAAAGACGGCCTTTCATTACATAGGTAACAAGTTTTGTATTAAATATTAATTCCTGCATATTGTGTTAACGATGTAGGATATGAAGTGTTATTTTATTGAATGTATTAATAAAATTGAAGTGACATTTTTGTTTATATACCATTCATGTCCATATAGATTTCCATTGAGAGACCAAAATCTATTTCAATCATGGATTGATCAAATTCATACGTATTTGGAAAAACATAACTGTGAACATGGAAGATTCAAAAAGAATACACAATCTGTTTTGTGTTCAAACCATTTCCTTAAAAGTGATTACATTCCTACAGTAAGCAGCCATATATTAAAACCTTCAGCGTGTCCTTCAGTCTTTTCGGTAAGTTATATAAAATAACAATAGGATTACCCCCGGATCTACAATAGAATTTTAATCCTTAAGCCATAAGAAATGGACGAATCATAGTCGCTCATTCTTCTCAGATTTGACCATAATTGATCAATTTCTTATGGCTTAGGGATGATATTTTATTTATGTTTTTGTAGTACAACCAATTTTCCAAGTCTGTTGATTGGCTATGGGATAGAGAGATCTCTGTTCTGTACACATTTGTTCTATGACAAAAACGCACAAATGTAATAGTGCCCTAAGGTTTAAAATACGTATTGGGTGCTTTCCAATTGATGACATAAGTCGACACAAGTGTCGTTCTATCTTTGTCACTCTCAGAATGTCAACAAGGATAGAACGACGCTTGTGCTGACTTGTGTCGACTTGTGTCATCAATTGGAAAGCACCCATTGTAGATCCAAGGTAACATGAATAGACTGTAGGCACATAAACCTTGGTTTTATTTGAGAAAAGAATGACTTGAAATCTAATCATTCATGGGATGGGGTAATGTAAATGTTAGTTTCAGTTTTAAAACCATTTTCTATCACACAACTTGCAAGATATTAAAGCAGCATTTTTATGTATTACAGTGTGATCCTAATCCTGTAAAGAAAAAACGGTCTAAATTAAGCTCTATAACACCTGCACGTCGATTGCACTACATTCTTCCAAAAGTGGAGATTGTTGAATTGGAATATCTAAAAGTAATGGCCACAGAATGCAACAAAGAAAACAGAGAAGTAAGTTGAATATATGTAGAATAAAAAACATACACATTGCAGAATTTTTTACATTATAGATACCTTATCTCATGGTGCAAATTTCCTAAAATATTTACACAAATTTTAGAAATACTAAAAAATTTCCAATTTTTAATACAATTATAATGAAATAATAATTTGCATTATTATAAAGTAATTATATTGAAAATTGTGTATTTTTTGTATTTTAAAATTTAAAATTAAATTATTAATTTCAAAAAAATACGAAACACTTGTCAATTATTATTAATTATCATTAATTATTTTAATATTATTGTTAATTATTTTATTAATAATATAATTGTATAAAAAAGAGTTTACTTTGTGATATATGTAACATCATTCATACTTGTTAATAATTATTAGTTTGCTCTTTTTAGAATATCTCACGTATTCAAGATTCGGTATTTGAAGAACCGGTGATTAAAGAAGCAAGAATAGAGGAGCCAGTGATAAAAAAGAGTATAGTCGACGAAGTGATGCTCGAAAAAACTGAGGTCGAGAAACCAATGCTTCAAGAAGGTACAGTTGAGGCACTGATGCCAGATGATACGATCGAGGAACCGTTTATCAAAAACACACAAGAATCGTTCCTCGAAGATTTAAACAAGGTACAGCCATTTCATGGTTTTGTAGTTTTCCTGCAAGTACGATTATTTATTTATTAATGTAGTATTTCAATAGATTCAATAGATAGAACAAATGTTCAGTCAGCGTTACAAATAACTCGTTGTTGAAAAATCGTTTCAATAATTAGTTAATGGATTTCCTTTAAAAAAATACATTTTCTATTTATTCAATTAACATTGAATAATGTAATTGGTAATTTGGCTCCCAAGTGCTCTTTGTAATCCTGATAACAAACAACAATTAAAGGCAAGAAATTCAAAATTAAAAGTGGCAGATTTAAATTTCAAAATGTGATTTGTTTATATTTTCAATTTGTCTAATAAATAATAATGTACAATTTTAATTATTGTCAACTTTTTATGTATTTATTCCGTGACTTTATTATTTCTTGTAACTATCGGAGTTATGACGATATATTTCCATTTGTAGAATGAATGCACCAAATGTTTATTATTAACCGACAAAGTCCAGAAGTTAGAGGGAAAACTAGAGGCTGTAGAGGAAAAACTAGAGGCTGTTATGAAGCAGAAATCCTGCAATCAAAGTGACATTAGCGATAATTCTTCATTTCACCATGAAGAATTGTCGCAAAGATTAAGTACTTCAAGCAGAGCAATACGAAATGATCACTGTTATGTAAGCACTCCACAAAGCTTGCAACAAAAGTTAGATTTTTTGAAAGCCAAGGCGATTAGGATGAAAGAACAAAAACGTAATATTGTAAAGAAATTTCGTCGATCGATGATTAAAGTATCGCAGTTAAAAGATTTGATGAAGTCTATGAAGAAAGAAAAGATCGCTAGACCGGAACTCGTAAACCATTTGGAGCAAGTATTTGGTGGAGCTCCTCTACAACTTTATGAAAGGTACATCCAGGTAAATGACGCTGGTACAATGAGAGTTACCAAGAAATATTCTGATACCTTGCGTGCTTTCGCTTTAACATTGCACTTTTATTCTGCTCGAGCATATGATTTCGTTCGTGAAGAGTTTGGTTTGTGCTTACCCCATCCAAGAACGTTGCGTGCTTGGTACAACAAAGTCAAAGGCGACCCTGGTTTTACAGAAGAATCTTTTTCGGCACTTAAAATTAAAGTAGATGAGTATTTATCAACTGGAAAAACTTTGTATTGCTCCTTGATGCTTGATGATATGCACGTTAAAAAACAAGTGGAATGGGATGGCAAAAACTTTTATGGTTTTTGTAATATACGTAAAGATGATACAGGACGTTTTTACACTGCTACTCAAGCACTGGTTTTTATGGTTGTAACCATCGATGCATCCTGGAAAGTTCCTCTCGGCTATTTTCTACATGATGGCATAAAAGCGGAGCAATTGACGGCATTAACTAAAGAATGCATTCAACGTTTGCATGAGATTGGTGTTAGAATTCCTTCTTTAACTTTTGATGGTCCTACTGTTTATTTTAGTATGGCTAAGCTCTTGAGAGCTAATCTGGGAATGGATTCTTTCCAATCAAGTTTTCCACATCCTTGTGATCCCACGCTTCAAGTGCATTGTCTATTAGATCCTTGTCATGTTTTGAAACTTGTGAGAAATGCATGGTATGATTTAAAGGTAATAATAGATGGTAATGGTGATTTAATTTTATGGGAATTTATAGAAAAGTTAGACAAACTTCAACAAACCGAGGGATTGCGGGCGGGCAATAAATTAAGAAAAGCACACATGGAGTGGAAAAAATCACCAATGAAGGTAAATCTCGCTGCTCAGACACTTAGTTCCAGCGTCGCTGATGCTATAGACTTCTGCCGTGATATCGGAGTGGTTGGTTTTGAAAAAAGCGCACCGACTACTAACTTCATTCGAAAAATGGATGGATGGTTCGACATCATGAACTCTAGACATCCGAATGGTCGCGGTTTTAAGGCTCCACTATCAACAAACAATGAAAGCAGTTGGAGATCATTTCTACACGAAATGGTTCAATACATCTCGTCACTTCGGATAATTAAGGACAGGACTCCTATAGTTGCCAGTTCAAAGGAAACTGGTTTCATTGGCGTCATTTTATCCTGCAAAACCATGGTTCGTATATTTGATGAATTAATAGGAAGTCACGAAACCCACTTACAGTATCTCCTTACATACAAAATGTCATAAGATCATGTCGAGTTATTTTTTAACGCAATCCGAGCTAGAGGACGATGGTGTGTTAATCCTACACCTCGTCACATGTCTTCGGCTTATAAACGTCTGCTAGTGAGGCACCAAGTAAAGGCTTCAAATGGCAATGTGACTGCTATGGAGCAAACTACAATCCTCTTTGCGACTCGGAATTCTATTACTCAGTATCAAGACACCGTAGCGCAATGCGATACCTTAACATGTGCTTTGTCTCGTGCTTATGCCATTGATGACGACGAAACCTCCACTTACAACTCTACCGATACCTCAACCAATAAAGAAACGGAATGCTCACATAATTTGGACGCTCTGCCTTCAAATACTAATGAAAAACAAGACGAAGAATCGATGGAAGAGTTAAAATCGGAAATGCCTCCAAATTATTTTAAGTTATCCCAATTTGCTGAAAATATAGTTGCGTTAATTGCAGGTTACGTCGTGCGAATGGTGTTTAAAAGAATTCATTGCATATCTTGTTGTTCTGTTCTCTGCAATGGCAACTCCAACGACAATAGGCTTCAGTTAATTCTTCAAAAATCGAATGGCGGCCTTATATTTCCTTCTCCCGATGTTATAATGATTTGCAGTTTGACTGAAAAGATGTTTCGAAGAGCTATCCATGAGTTGCCTATGGACACACCAGGATTTAATCACATCGTAGCAAATGCAGTATTTGCCAATTTAGGCACACAAAATTTGTTTCCAGAACTACATAATCACATGTTTGATATGTCAGAAGAGGAAAATCATATATAATCTAACAAAGACAATATCTTTGTGTTATATTAGGATAAAAATGTTTCATCAAGGCAAAACGATTACCGAAGCGCTAACAAACGTCGGAAAACGAAAGAAATTATCGCGACTTGCCATTTTCTTAAATGTATAAATAAGCGTATAAACACATGTATGTATATACCGAGCATGAATATACTTTTCACATTTTGTAATACTTAAAATAAAGAATAATATATTATTCCACATTTTTGCAACATTAAAAATAAATATTTCTATGCAAATGTTGTTCCTACTCTTAAAAGCGCAACGCGCGCACGAATGAATGTACTAATGAAAATACTAAATATATTAATAAAACTGAAGTGATATTATTTTTATTTATATACCATTCACGTCTATATAGATTTCCATACATCGATCAATACATCGATCGCAACCATGGTGGAAGGGATAGCACTATCCCTTCCACCATGATCGCAACGCGCGCGCGAACGCTTCTGATTTGCTCAGGCATCTGATCGAGCCAAGATGGCGACTGATCAGTCGCGGCCATGATTTTCTATGCATCACAGCGGAGATACCCATTCCAGTATAGAGTTCAGTGGGTGGGGGTGAACTGAGCAGCTCCTACAAGCACGGTCAGCTTAGGAGGGAAGGGTAGGTTAAGCAGCTCCTACAAGCGCGGTTAGCTTAAGAGAGGAAGGTAGGCTATGCAGCTCCTACAAGCGCGGTCAGCCCGAGGGATGAAGGAAAGGGATGATCAAAAATGACGATGGGGTTGGTTTTCGCCACGTTTATATAGGCGCCAGTCGGTGGCGCTCGCGAGTCGGGAGAAAGAGGGAGCTCGAATTTCCAGGAATTGGGAGTACAAATGTGAAAAAAGGGTTTTTCATATCGAAATATTAGTCATACCGGACTGAAACTCGGCATGGTTGCCACGAATTCAATTTAAAACTGAGGAATTAAATTAGTTCCCCGTTAATTAATAGAATTTTAAAATTATTAGCAAATTAAACTTTGGGTCCCTCTCCGTGGTCCGCGCTGCTCCTCACCCCGACTCTCGATTGGTGCTCGCTAACACGACTAATTCGCGTTTACTTATCCGTTTCAAATTGATTAAAGCGGTCACGATGACCAAAAGATAGTAAATTAAACAAAAATGTATTTTAAACATAATGCTTCCAAATTAACAATATTCTCGGCCAGAGCGGCTGAAGTCCCACTTAAAAGTTAAGCGTGTTGAAATTTAATGTACTTTTACATTTTTACGAATATTAATAATATTTTAATTAAGCCTAATACTATTAACACTTAACGTTTAATACGTTTACGTTTCTTACATGTCATTAACGTAAATTACTTTTCAGTTA